ACCGCTTCTGTCTGGGCAGATCATTGGAGCGGGAGAGCATCTGAGGAGGGATTTTCACATCAGCAGATGCTGCTTGGGGATAACACAAGGGCATCTTTCAGCTCAGGGTTGTCCAAGGTCGTTAAAGATGCATTGGTGTCCCAGTAGCCCTTCTTCCTTGTAGTCTGGGAGTCTGTATTCTCCATCCAGCTCCCGAAATGCATCACTGTTGGGGTGGGTAGCAAAGGAAAAGGGCGTATTGCTTCTCATGCATTCATTTTGTAACAGCAAGAAGACCCACTGTTCAAAGCAGTGTTGTCCTTCATACAGGGAAACCTGAAATTCCCTTAGAGGAGGAGCTGGTGAAGACCAGGGCCTTCAGAGAGGATTGCGCCCACCTGATTTTGCAAGAAGCTCTTGTTATTCCTGGGAACAGCTCTGCAGATCACTTAGACATCTAAAAGAGAAGTACAATCAGCTGCCTGATGTGGTGCAGGGAGTTTGATTAGGGTTTTCTAAAACCTCAGTGGCAAGGCTTTTTAGTTATACAAACCTCAAACCTGTGGTTGGGGTTTGGACCTGTGCTGAACCTGTTGGACCTCCTGGATTTTGGGTGGTTGGGCAAAAGGTCTGGGCTGTCCAGACCTTAGGTGTGTGAGCAGAGAATTTCAGACCCCATCTGGTAAAATGCTCCCAGGCATTGCAATTAAAGCCCTTACCTTAACGATTCCTGCTTTCTCAGCAGAGCCCTCCGTTTGCAGCCCTCGGAGGGCTCCACAAAGGGGGGAAGTACTGTCATCAGCTGCAGCTCCGCAGTTTCCTTTGGGAAGTTACAGCTTCCTTCCGCTCATTTTAAAGCCCCTGCATGCCGCTGGGTGACCCTCCAACGGCGGGACGGACGGACGGGCGGGCGGGCGGCGGCCGTGCTCTGCCGAGCCAAGCGCTCCCAGCAGGGCCGCCTGCCACACGATGTGAGGTCTGCCGGCTCGTTGCACGGGCTTTTAACGAACCTCTCCTGCCGTGCCGCCGGGGAGGGCTCAGCCTGTGTTTTTAAGCTTCAGGGAGGTCACTGCTGCTGTCGGGAGTTCGCCTCGGAGGACGAAAGGATCTGGGCTTTCCTGTGATTTCTTTTCCCTCCTCCAAACTGGGGGATGTTACTCGATCCTTGTCCCCCCCTCCAGCCCTGCGTTACCATCTTGGACTCATCAGCTGCCCAGTGTGGGTTTTAGCCACACTTCTGGGTTTTTGGTGTGGTTTCTTTTTCCCCTTTTCCATTTCTTTCTCTGAAGGAGCACATGTAATGGAGGAAACGAGCCTGGCGGTCCTTGGCGAGGGGGGAGTTCGGGGTCAGCAAGACTTTCCTAAGATAAAATAGGACGAGCTCCCGCAGTGCTGGGCTCGGCCCGTGCAGCGCTGCTTGGCGGGGTGACAGCAGCCCCGGGGGGGGCACACGACACTGCTGCCCTTGCACAGGCTCCTCCTGCAAGCAGAGAAAGCACAGGTGCAGTTGTATCCTGTACATCTTCAGTATATGCCTCAGTATGTCACTGAGCGTTTCTTCTGCGCATCTGACTAATTTGGATTTAATGGTTTGACCCTATGCTCTGGCTCTCGCTCTTCCCACGTCCTCTTAACATCTGTCACCTCAGAGGTGTTTGCCTCCGGTCCTCGCCTTGTTTCAGTAATTCATGTCTTGTATGAGATCCAGGAGCTCTGGTTAATGTTTGTGCCCGCTCTGACTCGAGCACTGCTGAGAGCCGTTCCTCTGCCTCTGGGGCTGAGGCTTGTGAGTTCAGTGTGTTTAACAGGTTACTCCAGAGCTTCCCTTTGGTTGGTTTTTTTTTATTGTTTTTACAATTTTATGTATATTCTGGCTTCCAGTTCATGAGCTTAATATTGTTATCTGAGATACCTCTTCCCTTTGAGAGCCCACACATCGCGATGGGAAGTTCCTGTAAGGTAACGGGGCTCTTTATCTGCTTGACCCGTGTGAGAGCGATGATGAGCAAAAGGGTGAGGACGAACAGGAACCAGAGCGGGGCTCAGCAGCCTGCCCGGCGTGCTGCGGTGCGGGGCTTGCTGCTGGACAGCCTCCCAGCAGTGCTACCTGGCTCCGTGTTGTGCTTCTGCTGGGCAAGGTAGAAGCTCCGGGTGAGCTTGTGCGGGAGGTTTGCAGCCCCTCTGAGCTCCGGCTGACGCTTCTCGCTGGGAAGGACCTTTGCTTGCTGCAGGTTTGCTTTCACCCGGTCCTCCCAGCGACGAGCTATAGGTATTTGCTAAGATAAATGGTTGCTCTCCCTCAGGTACTCTCCTAGGGCTTATCCTTGCTTGTGGGTGGATGTGAGGAGAAGGAGGAGCTGCGGGGAGGTCAGTGTTCATCAGCGTTTCGGGCTCATTAATCAGTCTTGCTAAGTGGAATTTGCCCAGCCCGTGAGCACTCTGCGATAGGAATGTCTTTGAAATGGGGGGAAGTAATAGCTCTAAATTGTTTGAGAAATAATTTCATTCTCCACATCTCAATAGATAAATCTGCTGTCCAACAACCCGAAATTTAATCTGTCCATCTAAAGTAATTGATGAGCTGCGACTTGAATCCAAATGTGAATGGGAAGGGAAATTTTCTGCAGAGATGTTTTGTATCGTTTCTGCAGCTGCTCCTTTCCACCAGAGACAATGGGGTGAAGCATGAGAAGGAACAAGGCTGCGGAAGATTTGGTGCTGCTGGTGGAGGGTGATACAAGCTCCACTTGTGCTTTTGACTCTTATTACTGCTCCCGAAGCTCTCCTGGTAACACCTTGATATGGAGGCGAGCTAGATTGGGCAGAGCCATTTGGAGAGATTAGATAAAGGTCATGATTTGTGCAGTTTTAAATGCAAAATTACGTTGGCGGCAGCCCTGCGGTTCTTGGATGCTCTTGGACTTTGTCTCCGCTCTTGACTTTGGAGGAAGCAAAGGGAGCTTTGATGCCCCTTTGCAATGTCAGAGTAGTGCAGGGGGAACTCAGCACAACTTGGAGATGCTTCCTTTGGCTTTCTTGAGAGCTTTACACCGTAGGATGCCCGTTTCCCCATTGATCGTTGCGAGTGATGTGTTTTCTCAATGAGAGACCCTCCCTTCCCCGTTTGCAAAGGCTGTGATAAGCAGATGCTCACAGCTCCCTGGTGGGGACTTGCTTTTCATTTCACCTGGTGCTTTCGAGCCGTGCCAGCAGCGAGATAAGAGGAAATCTGACATCACGGTCAGGAAGTGCTAAAGAAAGTTACTTTCGTCATTCGTCAGCGGGTTATCGCAAACAGCAAAGCTGCAGCATTCCTTGCATGCTGCAGGACCCGTTTCAAGCCCGCGGCTTTGGCCGCGG